ACTTCCTCTTTTCCAGTTTATCAATTCTAACTCCCAGTTTCTACAACTTCAACTATATTTTATTTTATTTTATTTTTTGCGGTAGGTGGGCCTCTCACTGCTGTGGCCTCTCCCGTTGAGAAGCACAGGCTCCGGATGCGCAGGCTCAGCGGCCATGGCTCACGGGCCCAGCCGCTCTGCGGCATGTGGGATCCTCCCGGACCGGGGCACGAACCCGTGTCCCCTGCATTGGCAGGCGGACTCTCAACCACTGCGCCACCAGGGAAGCCCCTCAACTATATTTTAAAGATTTTTTTTCCTCCCTTCTTTTCAGAGAGCATATTTTAAAAATCTTTTTAAGTCTTAATTGAATTTGTTCTTCTGTTTTATGTTTTGGTTTTTTGGCCGCAAGGCATGTGGGATCTTAGCTCCCCGACCAGGGATCAAACCCACACCCCCTGCATTGGAAGGCGAAGTCTTAACCACTGGACCGCTGGGCAAGTCCCCAGAGAGCATACTAATAACTGCATCAGGTAGAATGCATTTTCCAAAACAACCATTACAGCTGAAGGCAGAAAAAAAGTCAAAAATCACTGTTATCATAACTTCAGAAGCCCTGCCTGTTGCAGAAACCCCATGACATTTTTATAAAGAGACAACACTCTTGCCGAACTCTTCTTTTAATGGAGAGAGAGAATTATTCCAGCTAGATCCTGTCCAAGTCAAGCCGTTTTCATTATCTGTCAAACACTCCAAAATCAAGAGCCAGTTTGAGATGAGCTGAAAATCTGATTATGTTCATAATAAAAATTAAATCCCTCAATCCTTAACAAACAGAAGATTTATAATGATTTACAGTGTATCATTGAAATTCTAGATGCACTGAGGTTTGAGTTGAGAATGAAAATAAAGGGCAAAAACTTTGCCCACTATCGCAAAGAGAGGCTCAGTGTGACGCTGCCACATCAGGTTTCCTGTTTATCCCTCAGGCTGGTGCAGCAGAGACTTCAAAGTTTGATGGTGCCTGGGTTTTTTTGTTTTTTTGTTTTTTCTTCGTTCTTTCTTTTTGTTTTTTATTCCTCCAAAGATGTTGAGCAGCAGGCTAATGGATCCCCAGCGGGGTGCAAAGACAGCAGAAAGCACAGGAATTAGATGTCAATGTATTCCTCAGAGATACCCTACTAAGACAGAGCTAACTAACTAGGGTTTTAGTCTTCTCTTGGGGGAACACGCTTTGATGGTTCCCTGCCCACTCTTGGCTTCCTATATGTTTCCTGATTAAACTGCTGTCACAGATAAATCATGACTTCTGCCTATCAGGACAATTTTCTATTTTTTTTTTTTAAGGAAAAGTTTGGAATCATAAGCTTAAAAAGATGAGCAAGTTCTGGAGAATTTTATACTCACGTATAAACATATGTATATAAGCATGTCACATCTCCCTATTATAGAATCATCCATGGGTCTGGGACTGTTCTCTGCATGTTCTTTTCCTACCCATTACTTTATTAGATATATCTATATATTTTCTGCCAGTCACTTTCAGTCAATTGCTAGATTGCTTAGGAAACTTATTGAATAGATTTCGGGGGTTTGGGGGGTTCTCCTTGTTTTTCCTCAACACAGGCACGGATTGGAAATTGAAGTTGTCCCAGAGGTAAGAGTTTTTATTTTAAGTGTAAGGGGCATCCAAAATGTACCGGTGTACTTTTTGTGGGTTCCCACCTATAAAGAGCCCTTCAGGCACCAGAGAGTATTGATAATCTACCCTTTGCTTGGAGGAGAGATAAAACTCAGCAAACTGGAGCGAAAGTGGAAAGAGCTTGATCTACTTTGACCAAGCACAACCCTCTCAAAACCATGAAGTGAAACCGATTTACCCAGTGAAAGTCAAAGAAGTCAAAAAGCTGCACTGAAACCATATCTGCATCTACTGCCCGGCTGCCCCTCTGCCCTCGCCTCCACAAGCCCCATCCTGTCCCAGGCTGTGCCCAGAAGCCTCAGGCACACAGTGCCTTTGTGTGGCCTCTGCCTTTGCTGGACCGCATCTCTCCACACTGCTTCTCCTGCAAGGGGGGTCCTCATCGTGATGTACGTATCATTTTGCTTCAGGCTCTACATGAGGCTTCTTGCCACCCAAACCTGCCCCACCTTGGGGTCAGCAGGGCCCTGGCCATTACAAGGACATCTATTGGTCCCATAGCTACTGTTCTGTATCCTTTTGCCCTCTGCCCAGACTGACTCAGCAAAGCCACGTTGGATTCTTCTGTTCCGTAATGCAGACTATGTCATCTCTCACAGTCTGGGATTCATGCCATCTGCATAATTTCCCGTTTGCCTCTATCCTCTCAGACTCCTTATCACTGCACTTTCACATTAAAAACCCCAAACTGACCTCTCAGCAACAACCTGAGTTCCTGCAGACATTCTGACATTTGACCAGTGTCATAGCAGGGACCTTCCTTGCTTCGTGAGTCATTTCCTCAAGATTTTGTGTCTTCGCACTCATGGTGATTCCTGCCCACTGAGGGATTCCATTACCTTTCTGGAGCATCAACAGTTAATGTGAGATTAAATAATCTCACATTAACTCTCACAGTTAAATAATAAAAAACACCCAACTGCTTGAGATGGGACAAAATGAGGACTCTCAAGGGGCATACTTAAAGTCACTCTGCAAGGTTTCAGTCTGAGGGCTTTTTGAAATGTTGGTTTCAAAATTATATATATTATATAGATATATAAATTATAAAGCATTATAAAGAATTTATAAATGAAATCCATGAGATTAATAAGTGATGATAAGGAATTTTTAAAAAGAGCATGATTTTCATGCTTTGTTCACTGAGAAGATCCAGCAGCAGGTATGAATATGAACTTTTATAAACAGCTCCTTCCGCATTCCTCTTTAAATGCCATGACTTTCCCCAGTTAAATAAGAAAAGACTGTGGGACGGTATCCAGCAGAGGTGAAGTGAGGCAGTAGAAAGGCCATTACATCAAAACCAAGGCCACAGATGAGTAGGACAAAGCGAATTTGGTGGGAGTGTCACTTAAGCTTTCTATATGTCAATTTCCTGTGGATAAAAATAGCAGGTGTATCTAACATCACAGATAGGAAGTAAAGTAAAACAGATGTGAAAAATCAGGAATGATAATATGATGGGTTAATATTACTCCTTAAATTCTGGAAGCTGCTATTTTCATTTGAAATTCAAGTAACTTCCTTTTAACCTGAAGATTTCAAAGTATTTAATGGGAAGTATAAAAGTAAGCCCAAATGATTGTGAACCAGTAATGAAACAAATTAACATGGAAAAGCACACGAGAGTCCTTTCCAGCATTTACTGTAACTAATCACATAGGAAGGGTGTGTGGAGTTGGGTTCATTCCAAAGTAGCTTTCCAGACTAATACCAAAAATTTATCAGCCCCACAAATACATGTCTTCATCCTCCTAAGCTTTACCCACAGTAAAAGGAATTTATTAATTTCAAGAATTCATCTCATTTATGGCCTAAGTGTGCACAGCAAAATGAATAATGTTAAAAAATAATTCAACATGGGTGGTCAAGGTCAATTTAGCAAAGCAAGGTATACCTGACACAACAGCGATGGGCCTTACACATGGGGACCCAGCTTATTCAGAGACACCAGAGGAGCGAGGGTGGGAGACACAGATGGGAGAAAAGAGAGTTGAGGATCCTCTTATAATATTGTAGACATCATTCTTGATTTTTCATCCAAACTTTCATTATTAAATAAAAGAGCATTATGTCCCATGTATAACTAAAATAATCTATTCTAGATTCTTTTAAAGCTTTACTTGTCTGATTTTATGCTGTCATGTATTTAATGGATAATATAATACAAATAAGAACTTACTTTGGTTGCTTATAGTCATTAAAAATTACATTTCCATCAAGACAGTATTCTAGGTTTTTTTATTTTTTACTTTTATTTTTTTTAGAGTAATGTGACAGGGCTCAGCAGTCCCTAAAAGTGCTGAAAGTGAAGTGGTAGATAAGCCTGAAACTTAATGGTTGTGAGGTCCTTAAAAAACAATACTGTGTTTTTAATGGAGTTAGACAGAGTGAGAAATGAAGCCGTTTTGCTTTCCCTGCATGTGTTTCTCACTTTGAAGTTAAAACAGCAGCTCAGTCTGATTGAGGTAGGTAGGGGGTAAAGAACTGGCCAGGTTTTACACATGAAAGCAAATACTTAGAAGCAGAATTAAAAGCCAATGCACACTAAACTGTGAGTGTTAACCCATGTCAGCCCTAATTCTACTCAAAAAGTGGTGTGTGAACATTCAAAGCTGATGACACTAGTCTCCTTGCCAGGAGCAGGGTCCCAAACTCACGCAGCAGGGCTGGAAACAGGGAGTACGCCTTGCTCAGGGTTCAGTGGTTGCCGCTTGTCATGCATCTCAGGCAGAGGCGTAAGATGGAAGGGGCTTTTCAAAACCCTGTGGCCCAGACCATGGGGTCAGAGCAGAAAACCATGTTTCATGGAACTCTCATGTCTAACATGATATTAATAAAAGTAAAAGAAAAACATAAAAAAACTGAATGAGATTTCTATGGTCAAATGTTTGAGAAATTCAGAATTAATCAAGGTTAAACGTGTTTCTTTTCCAAAGGACTTCTCCGAGCCTTCAGTATTTTAATGTGCAGGAGAGGTTCCCTAATTATTGGGCCTGAGAGCTTTTTCTGAAAAGTTATGGGTGGATACTTATGTCCCATGGGGCACAGTTTGGGAAATACTGAGATAAAATATTACTATCCTTGGTTTATAGATGAGGGAGTTGAGGCCCAAGGAGAACTCGGGTCTCCGGCCTCCGAGTACCAAATCTTCCCAGGGGACCGATCAGAAATCTGAGAATAGATAAGCTGCAACCTTTTTAGGCAACACACATACCCTGGAAGGGTGTCCTAAAACTAAAACTTCTGAAAGTGCGGTATACACACTCTTCTTTCCTGGCTCAGTCAGGACACACAGACCCTCCGAAGTCATGATTACCTGATACAAAGGCATACAGATGCTATCGATCCACTCCAATTGCAACCGAGGCAGCTCATCCTTCCGGTTCCGATCAAAAATAGCCTAGAATGGGGGAGGAGAACCTTGCTTTATTACACTGGAGTCTTTCATAGGCGCTTTTGTCAAACACTTTGTCACAATGATCCGATTCTTACCAACTGCACACTTCACAGACGACAATCGATCTTTACACGTACTTTCTTTTCCTTTATCTATGATGAGAAATGAAGTATTTTCACCTCTTTTTATGAGATTTGTAAATGAATTTATTTGAACTTTATAGCATGCAACTCCTTGGGGCCAAAACCTGTCTTCAGTTATAGGTAACTGCCACTAAATCAAGTCATCAGGTCACTGGGAATTGGGCACAAGTCAAAGGAAGGGGAGATTTTTTTTTTTGCTACAAAAATAGTGCAGGCTTTTATTTTTATAGCGAGAGAGGGTGGGATAGATTGGAAAAGATCCTTAAAAGCAATTTCATTTTAAATAGAAATTATTTGTATTAATTTTTCAGGGTGGGGACAATTTTGTGTTTCTCAATAAGGTCCTGTCGTGAATAAATTCCTAAATTTTTATCTATCACTGGATGGATGATGGGGGCAGGTACCCATTCTCTCCTCATTCCCAGCCTTTAAACGTTATGATATTATAATGTTTAGAAAACTTAGAGAAAAAGAAGTGACATATTCCGTTGGGCAGACACAAAAAGAAAGACAATCAGTTGGAATTGGATGGCTGAGATAGAGTCCTCGGACAAACACTGCCTGTTCTACGCCAGTGAGACTGTCCCTCCCTTTATTCCTAAGGAGTAAGGCCAGGGTCTAAGAAGCAACCCTGCCCTGCCTATGGTCTTACAGTAGGTTTCACCTTTTTTCTAAATAAAATGTGGCATCCACATCATTTTGGCGTTCACATAGGTTGTGAGGGCAGATTCATGACATCTCCTTGGTTCAGATATGTTGAGAAATCCTGTATCCTTCAGACTTAGGAACGAGGGTGGGAGTGGGTGGGGCCCAAATCACTAGCCGCTGAGGTCACAGAAGATAGAAGGGCGCCGCTGAGGTCACAGAAGATAGAAGGGCGCCGCTGAGGAAAATACCTCCAAATTAGGGAGGAGGTCACCGTCTCCTACGGGCTCTGTTCATCCTTGATTGTAATGTGAAATGTAAATATCAGGAAGGAGGACTAGGCATTTGGAGAAGACTCTGAAATATGCTGGAGGAAGGGCTGGTTCTTGTGAACTGCATGAATCTTGGTCCAAAATGTTCCTTTAAAAAATATTACTCTGGGCTTCCCTGGTGGCGCAGTGGTTGAGAGTCCGCCTGCCGATCCAAGGGACACGGGTTCGTGCCCCGGTCCGGGAAGATCCCCCATGCCGCGGAGTGGCTGGGCCCGTGAGCCATGGCCGCTGAGCCTGCGCGTCCGGAGCCTGTGCTCCGC